CACTCTTGCTATAAAGCCAGCTCTAGTTTAAAACAGAATGTGAAAACATCCTGAAGGTTGCTCACACCACAAGTGAACTTGCAGTGGTGGTATTCAAGATTGGTACAGAATATGGCTAGCTTCAAAGTACCCGATTTGCCTTACTAACCAAATGAAGTACCTACTTGCCATATTTAAAGAAAAGAACAGCCAGTGAATTCAAGCAGTTTTTGAGTATTCCTCCTTCTCCCAAACCTTGGTAACAGCTTAAAGAATTACCCAGTACTGAAGTTATCAGTTGGCTCATGATAGTCGTAAAAGATTTACTAGATGCTTTATTCAGTGATATTTTTTTTTCATTATTGGAGAGCTGAGCTTTAAGTTGCCTCACTCTAGTTTAAACACTGGAAAGTATCTACAAATTAACAGTCTGTTGCAACCAAAGAATTTCCACTGTAGAGTGAAGCAACTCTGTAGTGAAAATACCATGGTTGTAGCAGACTGTTAATTTGTAGTTTGCCTTCAGTGTATAAACTAAGCTGAACGTGGTCATTTGCTGAATGTCCTTGAGTACATATTCTTTTAACCATCAAACATTAAAGATCAAGTGAAAAGCAGCTGAAAACCGATACCACTGTGGAGTCCTGAAAGGCTTCATTTTGGTTAACTGTTGCTCTTTTATTCTTCTAGAGATTATAGAGATGTTTTGAAACTTCATGTTTTTCACACACAAAATAAGTTGAGAATGGAAGGTTCATCGTGTACGCTTTTTTGTAAAACTGATCAGCTGTATTAGCCTTCCCCATCCTGGTGCTGAACATCTATTTTGACTTCAGTGTCCATGATCCCTCACCTTTGGTTAGGCTACTTTAATCGGAAGTGAGCTATTAGGGCCTTGTTCCATGGAAACAATATTCTGTGGTTGTTCAACACCCATTATATGCAGTGGTGTAGAGAGGCAAATTCAAGCTTTTTCTTTTGGAATATTTTTAAATTATGGGTGCTTGAATTCGTCGATGGAGAATCTTTGGATATGGAGGGCCAACTGTAACTCCAAATAGCCGGAGGGCACCAGAATGAGAAAGGCTGAAATAACAAGGTTTCTTAACTTTTGTGAGAGAGGGACCAGAGGTTTTCCAGCTATAGCAAAAGTGAAAGAATGTATTTCAGTCACAAAGTAAAATTTAGTTTTGAAGACATTTGCCTTCAAATGTTGGTTAGGGCAAGAAACAAAAGGATGTGGTTGAAAATGCTGGGTTGTTATAGCTTAAAGCTCCTGCTGCCAGAGAGGCATTTTACTCTTGCAAATAAACTACACCAGTAAAAGCTTGGAAACCCCCAAATATTGGTCTTTTGGAGAAGGGGACATGAGCTTCTGAGAAACCCTGTGCACCAAAGTAGAATAATTGAAGGTTGGGTCTTAGCCCTTAGCTTGCACACTCCTGTGCTATTCATAGGACATTGAATTTGCAAATCTCAGGCTCTGCTCTTGTGCCTCTGGGCATATACCTTTGATGTTAGCTGTATCTATGCTATAGAATTAATACAGTTTGACCCCACTTCAACTGCCATGGCTCAATGCTATGGAATCATGGCAATTATAGTTTTGCAAAGCTTTGAGCTTTCTCTGCCAAAAAGTTCTAGTGCATCACCAAACTACAAATCCCTTAATATATCATGCTTGATAACTATGCCAGGGACCCCTTTTCTTATTGTCAATTGTACAACATCACCAACTTCTCACTTTGAGTGGCACAATTACAGATCAGTGTTAGGTTTTGACCCTGAAAACTAGCCTGGCTAGTCCTTACCTGCCAAAGCTAATAGGACAGTAAGCCTGCACCTGTCTGGGCAATGCCTTTTGAAATCTCATTTGCAACCAAATTTATTAGTAAATTCTTACCAAGTTTGAGGAAACCCTTTCATAGGAAATGGAACAAAAGTTTGAATTTATTCGGGTTCTTTTTAATGTGCCTTCTGGCTTGCTTAGTTGGATTCTCAAGGAAAAGCTCTTTAAGATAATTATACCACACAGATTAAATATGAGATATCCTGTCATTTGTCAGATTTATTCTACAGATACCCGTCCCACATCCTGCCACATTTGAGCAAATACAGCAAATACGGAATGCTGAACCTTTGCTTTCTGATATAATCCTGTTGCTTTACCTGAGAGATGAAATACAATGGACTTAAAATTAATATTAGATTGTATTAAGAAGCTATAAACTTTTGTATCAGAACTCTGTAGAAACACACAAGCTATAATGTAAAAAACAACAACAAAACAACAACAACAGCTTTATTGCACTCTTGACAAAGCCAGTCTGGTTCACAAAATGTTTCTGAACCTCACTAACTTCTGTGGTTCCTGCCCTCTGATTTCTTGAATTTTGGAACAAAAAAGTTTTATAACATAATCCATTCCATTATTTATAAATATGGTGTTAATGATTGTAGATATTTTGCTTGAAGGAGACTTTAAACGAGCCATGTTCCATTTTAGGATAATAACAGTCATCAATTCTAACAATATAATCTCAAAAATCAAGCACTATCTGACTCAGGCGCCGATGGCTTGTAAAGAGACTTTGATTTAATATATTACATCATTATCTAAGTAGCAATTTGAGATCAACCTGTTTTTTTTTAATTGATTGTATAATATAACACAATCCCTAACAAGCTTCCCAGAAAGGCAGCGATAAAGTTCCATTTTATATTAAAATATGCAGCCATAAGGTATAAATAAAAACTGCCAAAAGTGTTACTTCATGCACGCGCGCACACACACACACACATTATTTGAATATATTTGGATGTTAGCATTGTCAATTTTTTCTGTCCATTTTTAAAACATACTTTTTCTATTTTATATGTTCATAAAACTATTAGGTGCCACACAGTATTATCTAGGATATGAGGTGCAAAAAAAAGCATGAGAAGGTTGGGATGTGAAAGGTCCTTTTGGAGTGATTTTGGTGTGAAAAGTGTCCCAAATTCACATAGGATTTTAAAAAATGAGCTCCAAGGGCTTTGGAGGTGTGGGGGCTACAAAGGTTTTGGTGCTATTTGCAACCTTCAGGTCAGAGGCGGCCCTAGGTAATTTTCAATGGTAAGCAAACAGTATTTTGCCCCCCCCCCCCCAACCAATCATTGATATATATTTTCTGTTTGTCGTGGGAGTTCTGTGTGCCATATTTGGTTCAATTCCATCATTGGTGGAGTTCAGAATGCTCTTTGATTGTAGGTGAACTATACATCCCAGTAACTACACTTGCCGCACTTGCTCCCTGGTCGGAGGCGTGCCTGAAGACCCCGGCGTGTGCACCAAAAGTCACCTCTTCTCCTGACTTTCTCCTCAGCCATTGGGACCAAGAGAGAGAGAGAGAGAGAGGTGGAGATGCCCACCTTTCCTGAAGGTAGGCGCAAAAACAAAGGAGGGAGCGGAGGTGGGAGATACCTCCAGCCGAGGGGCTCTCTCTCTCTCTCTCTCTCTCTCTTGGTCCCAATGGCTGAAGAGAAAGTCAGGAGAAGAGGCGAGGGGCATTTACAGAGGCGCCTCTGTGCCCCTGGCAAAAAAAAGTGTTCTGCGACCGCTTACTTCGCGTAATGGACGAGCCGCCCCTGCTTCAGGTTTTACTTTCCCCATCCTTGTTCTCGGTCAACTGTGGGCAGCTGCAGAGACGGATGAAAGTCTGTTTTCATCACCACGACTCCGCTTGGTGGGCCACACCAAATCTTGCAGAGCTCCTATATACGTATAAGCGCACACGCACACACGTGTATATGTATGTACACAGACGCATGCACATATGTATATATAGATAGATCACCCTCCATATGTGCCAAAACTGCTGCAAAACTCAAAATCTGTGCTGCCAGCCCACCTACCTTAAAAAAAATCTAGCAATCCTCAAAAGCTGGTCAGAAAAAGACTGAAATTTAAACAAGAAGTAAATTGAAACTTCCATTTAAAAAACAACAACATGGATAGGTTGAGGGAGCTCTAGTTTCCCCCCTCTCTTATAATGCCCAATTACTATAGTTGTAACAGCACTGGCTTTTGAGCAATGCTCAGTGCACTGTTAATATTAAATCATTATTAACTAGTAATGGTCTCCTGGCCCAGTCCAGTGATTCCTGTGATCAAACTGGAAAAAGAGTAGATCTAAGGATTTGCTTTCAGAAATTCTTGGTACTTACTCCTAAAGTGTGATGGCCACAAGAATGAAGTGATCTATGCAGATGGGAGCCAAGGCTGTGTACAGTCATCTACCTTCCAGGATAGCCAACCCTTTTAGCATATATGAGATTGAAGCACACCTATTCATTTCTTTATACAGCTATATATTACGGTGCATTTTTCAGCAGTACTCTGTATTTTTTCTTTGCAATGTGTATTCCTATATTATGCCTTTTTATAAAGTGCCTCTGGGTCATCATTCTGAGATTTTAGCTCACCGGCCTGTCTTTTTAATTCAGCTTTGCTCATTCAGTGACATTGGTCATATTTAGTTAAGTTTTTTTTACTAATGTATCAATTAGATCAAGTAATGGTAGGCCTTTGTGACATTTTTGTAAACTGACAATCATAAATGAAAATTAGCTCTTGTTAAAGATGGAATGGTAAACAGTGTGTTGCAATAGCATATCACTGGCCAACACACATTTTGGTGCCCCAAACGTTAGACCTGTTTTTGGGTATATTTAACCTACTGATTCCCAAAATAGCACGAGTTCCCCATTATGAGCTCTAGTTTTTGAGATACAAAATATATGCCATCTACTAGTTAGCATGTGCTCACCCATTGAAAATCACAATAATCATATCTAAAAAAATAGAGCTGATGCGGTCTATCTAATGCTATTTTTTGACTCGGTGCCCCAAATAATTGCAGTAAAAATCCTAAAAACCAAGACACCAAGAAAAACAATTTTTTTTGGTCTGGCTGTGTTATTTTTATAATATGACATCATTAAATATTCATTCTTAAATGTGTCTTTTTTTTCTCCCACAGTGTCACTTTTATAGTAATTGGAGTTACGGTTTTCATCCTGATTGTAACCCTGATTGTTGTCTGTTTCACGTGCTCATGTTGCTGCCTGTACAAAGCATGCCGAGGGCAACCACGGCGTAAGTATCATCTAAAATTGCATTTTGCATTGTCCTATCAGGTGGGAGTTATAGTATCTACCAGGTGAATGAGATGGGAAGCAGGGCTACTGACCAAAAGAAACACCAGCTAATCTAACTGTGAAGATCTTTAGCAGATATCTGCCTTTAAAACCCTGAACTATCTTGGAAGAGGTAGGATTTGGGTATCATCTGTTGTGATAATGCTTCTCAGGAACTATTTCAACTATTGCCAACTGTTTTTCTCTGCAATGCCTAATGAAGACTTTCTTAATAGGGAGGACTGACTTTGTCCCACTATCCTGAAGATATGGGAGATGGCTTTCTCAATGGCTCATCCTAAGCTATGGGATTTCCTTCTAAGGGAAGCTTGGTTGGCACTCTCTTATCTGTTCCCCAGCAGGCAAATGCCTTTTTATTTACATAGGCCAACCTGGGCAAGATCTAAGATTTGTTTTAATTGTTGGAAGGAGAGATATTTTATTTGTCGTATCAGAAGCAAACCAAGTTGTAATGTATTGAAAAACACAAAGTATAAAAACTTGGCATTATACTAAATGTCCTTTGATCAGTAGCTGGCCACTTGGAGTGCCTCGGGTGTTGCCATAAGAAAGTGCTCCATTGTGCATGCGGCAGGGCTCAGACTGCATTGCAGTAAATGGTCTCTGGTTTGCTCTTCTCCACACTCTCATGTCATGGACTCCACTTTGTGGCCCCATTTCTTAAGGTTGGCTCTGCATCTCGTGGTGCCAGAGCGCAGTCTGTTTAGCACCTTCCAGTCTTGTGTGCCCAGGGGGGAGTCTCTCATTTGGTATCAGCTATGTTCCGGGTTTCAGCCTGCCCCTTTTGGACTCTTACTTGCTGAGGTGTTCTGTAGATTTTAGAAAACTTAGAAGCCACCAGAAGCAACTTGGGTGGGGGGAGACTTAGTTGTTTGTTTAATGGATTTTAGTTATATTTTGTATTATAAGTTTTTGTAGTCCCGATACTATTGAAGAGAAAATGCCACTGAATTCTACACTATACAAACTGAGTTATCTGTGTTGCACATGGGGATTTTGACTTTCTGAAGGGGTGCATAAAACTGCAAAGGTTTGTTACTTGGATGCCTCATAGACAGAGACTCAGTGTGTGTGTAGGTAGCATTTTGGATTTGATGCATGTCTGGAAAATGTGGGTTATATGCAGTTATGAGGCTGGCAAACAAATGTTTTTTTCTTATGCATTACTTAGCACTGTCTGGAGGGGAGGGATAAACTTCTTTGCCCAGGCATGTCAGTAAGGCTCTGAGTTTCTAAAACACAGTTTGCAGAACCTCAAGGGAGAAATATTTATGTGAAAGAGATTTTTTTTGGGGGAGAGGGTTAACCTTTCTTTGTCTACTGATACTTCCCTGGTTCTCTCTTCTTGTGTATTTCTAGCTGTTGTGACCACAACTACAGCCACTACTGTGGTGCAAGTGCCATACCCTCAGCAGCCTGGTATGGCAACAGGTTACCCACCAGGTGTATACCAAGGATATAGTCCTATTCCTGTTCAGCCGCACCCTGGGATGCCCGCAGCTCCCTACCCAACCCAGTACCCTCCACCTTACGTCGCACAGCCTTCAGGACCACCAGCATATCATGAAACAGTGGCAGGTAAGAAGAGCCAACTGTCTTGAAGAAAATCACTCAAGCCATGAATTTACTTGCTCTCTATTAGTTGGAAACAAAGGAAAGAAATCACATGATGGATTTTTTAATAGTACAAGCTTCCTTTTTTTGGCACATTCAGTCAGCTTCCTCTTAGAAATAAATTAGAGAAAAATAAGTATGTTAAAGCTTGGTATCTTTAACTAGAGAGTTCTCGTCCTCATTAATGTACACAACATCTGTCTCTCAGCAAGATCAGCAAAGTCTGTCTCTTAATGGTGAATCCATGCCACCAAATTAAAACAGTTTGACATCTCTTTAACTACTGTGACTCAGTGCTATGGAATACTTGGATTGGTAGTTTGCTGAGGGCCAGCACTCATTGACGGAGAAGGCTATCAGTCATATAAAACTACAATTCTCATGATTCCATAGCATTGAGCCATGGTAGTTAAGGAGGTATTGAAGTGCATTCTGTACTGTAGATGCGCCCAGATTGAGGAAAAGGTCTAATACCTTACTTACTTACTTATGCAATCCTTCATTGTCCGAGTATGATGGCCTTTGAAGTGTAGTGTCTTGGTGTATATGTAGGTGACTGTGGAGCCCTATACTTGACCCGCACGTTCTCCTGCAGTGAGGGCATTGGTTTCCAGGTGGAAGGCAGTCCCGATCAAGTTTGGCTTGATGTGCCTTCCTCTTGGCACGTTTCTCCCTTTCTCCCTCCCTTTCACCCTCTTTGAATTCCACAGCACTGCTGGTCACTGCTGACCTCCAGTTAGGGTGCTCAAGGGCCAGGGCTTCCCAGCTCTCAGTGTCCATGTCACAGTTTTTAAGGTTAGCTTTCAGCCCATCTTTAAATCTCTTTTCCTGTCCACCAACATTCCGTTTTCCATTCTTGAGTTGAGAGTATAGAAGTGCATTCCATACTATAGATGCACCCTAAGGCTATCCATGCCTCAAAACTTTTCTTGAAGATGTTAGCAGTCACCTCACTCTTCCCCCCAAAGACCTTGAGATTTCCCATTTGACCAGCACAACATAGAATGGGGCACAGGTGCCCAAGAAGAATTGCAGTTCCCAAGTAGGTGGTACATTGATCATAGTGTTTTACCATGTTAATCTTTGAATTAAATAATGACTGGACAGTACAAGCTTCTGTTGCAGGGAAAAATGAAACATAGCAAAACACTTTCAGCAGAACAGTGTCAGTAGCAACACTGCAGACTTTTCCACGATTCCTATATATTGGCTGAGAATACTTAAGTAAACAGAACAAGGAACTTGCAAGAGCATATTATAAAATTGATTCAGGTAAAAATGTGTATGTATGTTTTAAAATACTGTCCTCTTTTTGCAGCTGGTGCTGGAGCTCCTGCAAGTCAGCCACCTTATAACCCAGCATATATGGATCCCACAAAGTCATACTGAATGGATTTCCCCCCGTGTTGCACCTATGCAGAAAATGCTTCAAACTGAATGTGTCTTGTGGCATACTTTCTTAAACTACTACTCCGATAAGTGGGGAAGGAGAGCGATAATAATCCAGAAACAGTGATGTCTAAATATATATATTGTATACTACAAGAGGAAAAAATACCTTGATATGGATTCATTTTTCCACACTTCATGCAGCTGAAGTTGTTGAAAACTAAGGGGAGGGAACTAAAAAAGGTAATGGCTGAAGCAAAAATATCACAGTGGGAATCTTGTACGAAACTGTCTGTTAGAAGGGAATGGCAGTTATGAAGTGAGTAGCAACACCTACAACCATAATTTCCCCAAAGATTAATACTGACTAGAAAATGAGAGGTATATTTAACAAAACTGTGTAAAGTGGAATATGCTATTTCCAGGTAGTTGTTATGATGCAAAGTCTTTCATTTTCACAAGTGAAGTGCACAATCTTAAGTAGAATGTTATTGAGAAAGGAATAGTGATAGTTGTTAAATGACATCTCAATGTGTATTCATTGTGCAGTAGTCCCAGAATCACTCACTTGATTGTAACATTTCCCAGTTTTCATTTCCACCATGCAGGTTTTATATATATTTCACAATATACCAAAAACAGAGTAGCTATACGTCTACTACATGAGAGCAGTTGAATTAGGTTATTAATCATCTTAAAAGGGGAGACCTGTGATGGGATGTTACAGTGTATTTGGAAGTTTTAGTAGAAGGGTGAAGTTTCAGTGGAGCATTAATCTTATATTATTTTCAGATCCTAATAGGAGTAGTTCTGTTCAGGCAGCAGTTAGCAAGCTCAGGGTTCCCTTCACCAATGTGATAAAGTAAAATTGGGTTAAGGGAACGGTTTCCTTCCCATCCTGGCCTCTGTTTTCAATTTTCCTTTTCCAGATTGAATCAACATTCCACGGGTACTGAGCATGCTCACTTATTGTTTGGATATGTTTGTGTGGCCTTGCTCTCCTAGGATTTTTAACATTTTTGTATTTCTGCAGACCTCAAGATTCCCTTCACTAATGTGATTCCTCCCTCTTATTTTCTAAGTGGTGTTGCTTACATATCACTTGGTTGTGATGCGTAGTTTTACCTTTCAGCACAATAGCCGACTCTTTTTTCTATTCCTTTTTTTAAAAAAAAGTATTTAAAAGTTACATTTCAATAGTTTCCTGACTATCTACTCAAATTTGAGGGAAATCACCATGAAAGATAGTTGGAATTCTGCCCTGGAAAATTAAAATTATGCTTCATGCATCTGGTGTTTTGTAATTTTTATACTAACCAGAAGCACATCAAGTGGGCAAGAGGGGGTGCAGCCTCATTACACGTGGTATTACTAACATCATACAAGAGAAAAGCCTCTGAAAAATAATATCAAACCTTAAAGCCCATGCGTCAATCCACAATATGTTATGTGTTCAAAACTGTGATTAGTAAATTTGGCTGATCACAGGAGAGGACAAAACTGCATTCTTGGAATTGAGAACATTCACGACTTCTCAGATAAAATAAATTTTTATTCTTCCATAGCATTTTGTGATCATAATAGCAGAAGTGGTTACTGAGGTACTTTCAACATCGAGGACTGTACATACCAAGAAAATTGTGGCTTTTGTGTACACACTGGGAACTGAAGCAAGTTGAAATTATACATGCATGAAGAATGTCAGTGTCTTGAGAAATACTTTTAAGGCATGGCCTTCCTCTTGTTTTAAATGGTGCCAGAAGTATTCAGGTCTTAAACTCTGTTCTTGAATCTTTGTATACAATGCTGAGTAGCCAAACTCTTTCTTTTAAATGGCTTGATAGCACAGCCCTATACATGTCAGCTTAGTAGTAACTCAAATTGAATTAAATCAGGTTTACTTTCAGGTAATGTTAATAAGATTACCCCTTAAGTAGATTAGACATTTGTTTCCAGCAACTGGGTCTGTAGTTCACTGCATTTGCCATCTTTTTCTATGTCGTAGTTGCGTCTTACTGAAACCTTAGCTCTCACGTTATAGCTTTAAAATGTCATTGAGCACATATCGTTATCCAAAGATTCTCTTTGTTCTCTCCCTATATTGTATTAATAGGCATACTTTCCTATATTGCATATCCTGCTTTAAAAAAAAACAATTGTGAAATCAGGAATGCAGAATGAATAAGCTCAAAGGGAGCATGAAATAATACCTTGCATAAATAGTTCTATGAAATCTACCAATCTTAATTCTACTGCAAGGATTCAACACCATGGAACTATGATTTTGAAGAAGTGCACAATCTGCTTTCAGCTTGTGCACCTCATTCATTTAATATAAAAGGAAACAATGAAAACATAAGCAATCTTTATATAATCCCTGTTTTTTTTATATTTTAATAGTGGATTTTTTCTTTTGTTATAAGGGATTGTAATTCTTGTGTTTTCTCTGTTTGAGCAACCTTTTCTTTCAGAAGTGTTACTTGTCTTAAAAGCCTTGTGGTTTACATTCCCTTTTTCTACTATTTGCCTGTAAAATGACAGAAGCCTACAATACACACACACTTGGCAGTAAACACCCTTGCCTTACTTCTGAGCAGACTTGCATAGGATTCTACTGTGATGTAAGCGTGACCTCTTTTTTCCTTCCAAAGACGGCATATCTTATTTGTCCATATGGCCTACATTACCATCACGTAAAATGAAAAGTTTCTGGAAATCATTAATATGTAAATATTTTCTCCACATTTGCTACATCAAATGTGGGGGAAACATTCATACTGAATATGACATTTCTGAAGACATAGGAAACCAAAATATTTGTAGACCTCCATGTGTTTGACAATACTTTCATTTCTTGGTTTATAATTAAAAGCAAGCTGTTACAAATGTCTTCCTGTCCCCTGCACCCACAAAATGCATCCAAGACAATTTATTGTTGAAGGCTTTAATGGCCAGAATCACTGGGTTGCTGTGAGTTTTCTGAGCTGTATGGCCATGTTCCAGAAGCATTCTCTCTTGATGTTTCACTTACATCTATGGCAGGCATCCTCAGACGTTTCCAACAGACCTCACAACCTCTGAGGATGCCTGCCATAGATGTGGGTGAAATGTCAGGAAAGAATGCTTCTGGAACATGGCCATACAGCCCGAAAAACTCACAGAAACCCAGCATCCAAGACAACTTATTTCACCTAGGTCAACTAGATATGTGCTAGCACAGCTGCATAAGGTGACTGCATTATAGTATGTAGTTTTCTTTGCCTTCATTACTATGCCTTTTCTATTGGACAATAATGTGGAATCCTCAAGATATGGATGAGGAATATGTGACCCTCCAGCTGCCGTTGGACTGCAACCCATAGCATCCTTTATTGTTGACTAAAGAGCTTATCACACACACCAGGCAAATTGCAATTACAGCAGGACAAAAGTGTCTTTGGCTGGGACTTATCCCATGATGTTGCTCATCTCCCATTATTCTCCCAGTGGGAAACAGCCTGGAAAGTATCCATTAGTGATGGCCTTTTGCAAATACCTTCCAATGGTGCCCACATTGGAGTGCATTTTTAATGGGGGCACCCAGAAGAGGAGCAACTCCCATGTGATAAATCCTGCTTTTATCCTGCTGCAATAGTGATCTACCTGTTTTGTGTGATCAACAGCACGAAGCTAATTAGTGTTATTGAGATCTGCAGTTGAACTTCATCTGGTGAGCCATGTGATTCTCACCTGTAATTTGAGGCCTGTTGTCTTGCTTTGCCTTTGCTCTTTGTTCTCAAAACTATGTGGACATTTGTTTGTTTTTGGTGACTGATCCTAGTAAGATTCATATACAACTTGACCCATGCAATTCAAACAGTCATCTGACTCCTGCAGAAATAGTGTTAATTGTACAATCAAGAAGAGAATGAGACAGTATTTGTTTCTGTATAGAATGTCTTTCTCTATTGGCAATCCTGCTGTTACACATGAGCCTGGTTACAATCGATAATGCTTGCATGCAATATAGGAAGGGAGAGATTCTACGAGTATGATGTATGTGACAATTTAATTATTACGTTTGTACTGAGAATTTCGGTTTTAAACTACACATTTTCAGTTTTTACTTTGTATCATGACCCCTGAAAGTGCCTTTTCCAGAATCTTACTACATTGGTGGAGACAATGTACTGTGTTTCAATGTACTGTGTGTTTCATGTTTGACATTCTTGTTTTTTACAAAAACAAATTGCTCTGTATTAGTTGCTCATAGTAAACAAACTACATTCAAAAGGACTCCTATGTTTGAGACTCTTTGTAGCAAAACATTAAAATTCACACTTTTTTTACATCCTCAGTTGAAAGATCACTGTGTAACACAATTTCTGTTCCTGGGTTATAAATGTCATTTCCTAATTGGTTCTGGCATTTTAAAAAATGGAAAATGTTTGTTAAACTGCAAAAACTTTGTTTTTGCCAGACATCCTGCAGCACACTTTGCTGAAGTTTTTTAGTGACTATCTCATCGAGTCTCAACCAAGTCAACATAGTTTATGGCAGCCACAAAAACAAAGTTTCTGGAGTGTAACAATTACTTTCAAAGTAAGTTGAATCATAGAATCAGAGAGTTGGAAGAGACCTCGTGGGCCATCCAGTCCAACCCCCTGCCAAGTTGCAGGAAAATCGCATTCAAAGCACCTCTGACAGATGGCCATCCAGCCTCTGTTTAAAAGCCTTCAAAGAAGGAGTCTTCCCCACACTCTGGCACAGAGAGTTCCACTGCTGAACAGCTCTCACAGTGGGGAAGTTCTTCCTCATATTCAGGTGGAATCTCCTTTCTTGTAATTTGAAGCCATTGTTCTGTGTCCTGTGCCATAACACACATATATTAAAAGTAATCCTGCTTGTTCAAGGCCATTTAAAAATGTAAAAGGCTGGGCCAAGATTCTAAGGCCCTCATCGTGTCTTCTCTCGGCCTTCTCTTCTTCAGGCTAAACATGCCCAACTCTTTAAGCCGCTCCTTATAGGGCTTGTTCTCCAGACCCTTGATCATTTTAGTCACCCTCTTCTGGATACGTTCCAGCTTGTCGACATCTCCTTTCAATTGCAGTATCCAGAATTTAACACAGTATTCCAGGTGTGGTCTGACCAAGGCAGAATAGAGGGCTAGCATGACTTCCCTGGATCTAGACATTATACTCCTATTTGTGCAGGCCATTGTGTACTTCACAATTAAACAGGAAATAACACTTTCAAATGACGACCAGATTTTTTCCCCCAAATTTTGTTACATAGTGTATTAAAAGATGGGTGCTCATTTGACATAAACTGAAGTCCTGACCAAATATTAGTCATACTTGATACATTTCACAGAATTCAGTGGCTCTTTTATCATGTCAGCTGCTCGTTGGCAATAAAGTCTGATACATTACGCAAAACTGGATGTGCTTTCCCTAGTTTCTGAGATTCCTAGGGAAGTGTGAAATGGCCGTGCCAACTGTCATAAAAATAGAAGAGTTGTGACAATTGTATATCCTTAAAATGGTCCCTAATACTACCAGCTTTAGCAGCAGCTGGTTCTCCCAGTGCTGAGTCAGTGGTGTAGTTAATTTTATCTGGGTTTTAATCTAGAATGCCTAGGACTTTAAAAGATACTCATGGTGCTGGACCCTACACCCAAAATAGGATCCTTTCCACAGCAGCTTTTAACTTTTTCCTTGCAAGTTCTATATCTTTGCTTGCTTTTCCATACAAATTCTCACAGAGAATTTGAATCCTACAGGAAAAGTAGATTGAAGAGAGTTGCAGTAGAAAAGATTGTGGGGAAACCAATTAAACTTCTTGTAGTTGGATATTTTGTAGCAGGTTTTCCCATTTTCTTGTGCCTCGAACCCTTACAAATGAGGAAGGATTGGTGTTTTTCTTTAAGCAAAAGAAGAAGAAGAAGAAAAGAAAGAAAGACAGAAAGGAAGAAAGAAAGAAAGAAAGAAAGAAAGAAAGAAAGAAAGAAAGAAAGAAAGAAAAGTAGATAAGCATTCATTTGATTTGAATTTAACCAGCCACAAGCAGAGGCATTTACTACAGCAACCTTTAAATATATTTATCAGAGGGAATTAATTTTTTGTGGTTGACTGAAGTGACAAAAGTTTTAAAAGTTTAAGAAAAACAGGAAAATGTGGTTTGCTGTGGAAATATATCAGTGGTACAACCCCCTCAAAATATTTTCTATTTCACCTATGAAACTGATATGGGAAGTGCAATTCTCTTAAAGAGTTTTGTAATATCAGTGCTTAAATTAAAAGTTTGAGATGGATCCAATTAAATGTTTACAGTTAGTCTGCTAGAACCCCACCACCACCACCACCACCACCACCACCATGAAAATGTAACAATTCGCAGTTTGTGGATATATTAGAAATAGTGGCTTCTATAACCAACATAGTATAGAGACTTGAGCACTGGACTACAACTTGAGACCAGGGTTCAAATCTAGCCTTCGTCATGGACACCTACTTGGTATTCTTCATACTCAGCCTCAGAGGAACAAATCTGGCATTAAACCCCCATTATAGGTTCACCTTAGGAACCCCATAAATTGAAAATGAAGACACCACACAACAATAGTGCAATGAACCATTGTTATGTTATTTTTATACAAAATAATTGCATATTCAAGTTTTGTACAAAATTATTATTTTTACACGTTTAAAACTTTTTCCATTGCCATCAGTGTTATTTTGGACTTAATGCAGGTGTGAAAAAAATGTTAAATACGTTTGCAAATCCCTATCCTGTTAGTAGCCATTGTTTACAAAACAGAAGTAAGATTCAAAGATCCAGGTGTCCATATTTTTCTTAATCAGTGGTTCCCAACCTTTTTTGACCAGGGACCACTTGAACAGGGACTACTTTGGCTAAGGACCACTCTCCAACATTAGTACCGAATCAGTTTTTGGTCAACTTTAGATTCGGTTTGGTTATTTGGGGTGTGGATTCAGAAAATTGCATTGGATAGACCATATGCGCTCTAGTTTTTGATTCAGAACATATGCCATCCAGTAGGCGCAATCTGCTTGCCAATAGAAAACCATATTTAATAATCTAGAACTGATGTGGTAGTAGTACATCTTTCGTGGGTAGTCAATCTCTCCCTTCCCAATATCCCCATTGCCTAAGCACTATAAGAGGGTTTCTCAAGACCAATTGTTCCCATTTCTGTGTAGTTTTGAGGCAACGGTGGAGTAAAGGTGAGGCCACCGACCATATTTTTGTTCTTGCAGAACACTGGTGGTCCACAGACCACAGGTTGGGAACCACTGTTCTTAATCAAGACTAAGATCATAGTGGTTGATGCAGAATACTGACTATAATTTGCAAGATGTATAGTGAGGATGAATCTTGATGTAAAGTTGCTCCTAGACAAGTTACAAAGCACAAATCAAGAGGGCACTTTTCTTGTGGAAGTGGAAACAAAATACTGCATTAAAAAACAGCTTCTTTGCTGGTTTATCTGTATATTGGGGGGGGGGGGGGAGAGATATCCATGTGCAGGAATTCTAATGAAAATATCCAAGGAAGGATCAGAAATTATACAATAGTTGTTCTTGTCAAATCCTTCATTGACAATATTATCTACCTATGGATATTATATGAAATCCATATGTGACAGAAAACTAGTCTGTCCTTATTGGCAGGATACTGAAGAGTTACCAGAGGTTATATAATCCAGTGATGGCATATGTTAGCATGTCAGCGTCTGGCTGACACACACACACAAAAACCTGGTATTTTATGGCCAAAGGGTTGGAGCAATCATAAGGCACCTTTCCCGAAGCTAGCTTTCTACTTTTATAATATGTGAACAACCAAAATGGACATAATAAGAAACTATTATTTTGCAACTTTTGGTCAGGTACATCAAAATGATGTTGAAAGAAAATGAAAAGATAGATAATAACTTTCTTTTAGATCAGAATTGCCTACTTTGCTTGGTTTTTCATGTTTTACTGCTATTGTGACCACAACTGTAGCCACAGCCCTGGTGTACATGCCACATCCTGACAGTGTTTCAAGTAATGCTGCAGGAAAATATCAACGATACTGTTAATGCAACTGTAGCCCAAAATGCTGGTAGCACTGAACACTACAGAGTGAGAGAAGTAGACTCTCTTTGGTGTCATAAGGGTTTGGCTTTAGAGAAGTAACACATAAGTCCCAGTTTACTTTGAACCCTACCTCTCTTACAAGTTTTTGTTTTACTGCCCTAAACTCTACCTTTTTAAATTTGTTCGTGGAGTGTTGTATAAGAATGAGAACAAAAGTCAACAACTTAAAATAATAATCACAATAGCACTAAGAAGAACCAAATTAATTAGTAGCGATGTGTACAATTCAGATTTTTTTTCATGTCAGTAGCAACTTGAGAAACTGAAAGTCAGTTCTGGTGTGTTTTCTATTTTCAGCTGAAAACAGCATTTTACAGGTTGCATTCCAAAATCCAAAATACTCAGACACCCAAAATCATCCACATGTCTGGCTACGGTAGTTACACCTTTGCTTTCTGGTGGTTCAGTGTACACAATTTTTGGAGAAAATTATTTTTTAAAAATTCCTATAAAATTACCATCAGGTTATGTGCATAAGGTGTATATAGAATCATAGAGTTGGAAGAGACCTCGTGAGTCATCCAGTCCAATTCCCTGCCAAGAAGCAGCAAATATGAAAGATAATGTTTAGACTTGGCTCTAAACATTATTTCATTATGTGTGTATATAAAAATACAGGTATTCCAAAATTCAAAAATATTTGAAATCTAAAACATTTTGACCCAGGCATTTTGCATAAGGAAAACTCAAATCAAAGCACGAAATATGATCTTGCAACTTTTGACTTACAGAGTTCAAAAGACACTCATATTCCAGGAATTTCTGAATGCAATCCATGTGATTATTATTAACCCAAGAAACAGAAGCAACAGTTTCTTGATTTCATCAGGGGTGTCAGAAATCGTATGATGGAGTGGATCCCATTTGTTGGCCACTGGTTCAGTATCAGCTTGACTGAATGAGTATCGTTGTGTTCCCTGTTGCCGTGATCTTACCTGTGAACAATTGGGATATGTTTGTTGAATCTTCTCATGTGTTTGGGGAAAGTCAGGTAGTCTCTCACTGTCCTGATACATGGCTCTAGTGGTATTAAAAGGCCTTGCATTTGAATCCATCCACAACATAAGATCTGTGGCTCTTTGTTGAAAGATATTGATTAGTGTGATGACATCTCCTTCTGCACTGTGACTGTTCAGAGGGTATGCTTTGTAGAATCTGAAATACAAGTCTTGAAGTCCGTATTTCATCTTCTTGCCACACTGCCTAGCTTCATATATAAACTGGTGAAGCTGGATGTCCTCTTTGTCCAGGGCTTTCATGGCTTTTAAAGTGTCCGCACAATAGATCCCATCAAGGCCCGAAAGACCCAGTGCAGACAGTTCAGCTTTCAGCAAGGGAAAATCATAGCTGCAGCCATTGTGGGCTACCAAACAGATTGGTGGGTGCTGGCGGCTGAAAAAAGTTGTCATCATGTGCAAAATGTCTAAGTTAAACCTTTGTTTTTTGTTCCATGAAAACATTTCATTAGTCAATCCTGTTATGGAACTTGCCATTGGGGTGAATGGCTTATCTGGATTAATACAGACACAGAGCTTATCTACTACCCGAGGGAAGAGAGGAATAGGTTTAGGATGAGAATTGCGGTACTGAAGGTTCTCCAAAGCATGTCTACTTACAGCAAACAAACACATTTCAGCAATTTTAGGTCGTGAGGGGGGTAAGCCTGTTGCTTCCAGGTCCATAAAGACAAAAGTTTCGATTGGTCTGGAGGGAGATTCAGACGCAGCAAACATTTTGAGGCCTGTAAGAAAAAGCATTGAAAAGATTTTTGAAAGATGGAAGGATTCATGGAATACAGGTTTTGGATCTTGCCTATTAATTGTTATTCATTTGTGAACTGTCTTGGGGATATTATAAACTATAAATTTGGATCAAGCTGGATGTGCAGAGCTGTGTTTTGGACTTGAAAATGCGTTCTCCTGTCAGTCCCATTTTTCTATTCATGTATCGATTACTTTTTGCTGCTTTCAAAGCATAATCAATACATGAATGGAGATAGAAGCCATAACCCATTTTGGGGTGCTCTGCACAAATATATCTACTACCTCCTTGTGTGGGTGTTTTATTCATTGGCAGCTGGATGGCATCGAGGAGCAGCTCCATCCCCTACAATGGGTCATAGTGGCTTCCCATATTTCCAAAAAGACATCTTTCTTCAACTCTACCAGAAAATGTTCTTGGAACTTGGTCCATCTAAAGAAGGATCTATACATGTTTTCAAAATGCAAAATTATGTACTATATTATGGATATAGAGACATAGATGAACTTTGGCCCTCCAGGTGTTTTCGACTTCAGCTTCCAAAAATACCAGCTTACCGGCTGTTAGGAATTGTGGGAGTTGAAGTCCAAAACACCTGGAGGGCTGAAGTTTGCCCATGCCTTTCCCCATTCTTTAAAACAGCGTTTCTCAACATGGGGTTCGGACCTCTAGGTGGATCTTGAGGAATGTCAGAAAAGTAGCCAAAGACCATCAGAAAATACAGTATTTTCTGTTGGTTATGTTGGTTATGGGGGTTCTATGTGGGAAGTTTGGCCCAACTCTATTGTTGGTGAGAATGCTCTTTGATTATAAGTGAACTATAAATCCCAGCAACTGCGACTCCCAAATATCAAGGTCTATTTTCCCCAAACTCCACCGGTGTTCACATTTGGGCATATTGAGTATTTGTGCCAAGTTTGGTCCAGATCTCTCATTGTTTGAGTCTCCAGTGCTCTCTGGATGTAGGTGAACTACAGCTCCAAATCTCAAGGTCAATGCCCACCAAACCCTCCCAGTATTTTTTGTTGGTCATGAGAGTTCTGTGTGCCAAGTTTGATTCAATTCCATTGTTAGTGGAGTTCAGAATGCTCTTTTGTAGGTTAACTACAAAACCCAGCAACTACAAAATCAACCCCCCCCCCCCCCCCCCCCCCCCCCGCAACGACACCAGTATTCAAATGTGGGTGTATCATGTATTTGTGCCAAATTTCATCCAGTGATTGAAAATACATCCTGCATATCAGATAAGGTATTTACATTTGGTTGCATTGAGTACGAATTTACATATGCACTCAATGCACCCAACTATCTGATGATATGTACACGTGAAAATAAATTCTAAAATCAGAACAGTAAAGAAAGAACAACACTAAAAACAGGAATTCCAGACAAGAAACAATCAGGGCCAGCTAATCACCACCCTACCAAGGATTCCCCCAGGCAGGAAGCAGCCAAGCCTTGAAGCTGCAAGGCTATTCAATGTTAATCAAGGTGATAAATTGGAGTATTCACACTTCCCTCAAACAGACAAGAGTTCTTTCTCCCACCCTGGACATTGTTGTCATTTATTCGTTCAGTCGTTTCTGACTCTTTGTGACCTTATGGACCAGCCCACACCAGAGCTCCCTGTCGGCCCTTGGCCACCCCAGCTCTTCCAAAGTCAAGCCAGTCACTTCAAGGATACCATCACTCCATCTTGCCCTTGGTCGGCCCCTCTTCCTTTTTCCTTTCATTTTCCCCATCATTGTCTTCTCCAAGCTTTCCTATCTTCTCATTATGTGGCCAAAAGTACTTCATCTTTGCCTCTAATGTCCTTATTAATGAGCAGTTGGGCATCATTTCCTGGAGTATGGACTGGTTGTATCTTCTCACGGTCCAAGGCACTCTCAGAATTTTCCTCCAACACCACAATTCAAAAGCAACTATCTTCCTTCGCTCAGCCTTCCTTATGGTCCAGCTCTCACATCCATAGGTTACTATGGGGAATAACATTGCTTTCACTATCCAGATCTTCGTTGCCAGTATGATGTCTCTACACTTCACTATTTTATTGAGATTGGTCATTATTCCACAGATATATAAACCCTGCTTGCCTTCTTTCCAACTTCACAACCTCTGAGCATGCCTGCCATAGATGTGGACAAAACGTCAGGAGAAAATGCTTCTGGAACATGGCCATATGGCCTGGAAAACTCACAGCAACCCAATGGCACATCTCCCTATGAAAAGTGACACCAACCCTAATGACGCTGCTGCTGCTTCCAATACCTCTGTTCCCACTCAATCTTTTTGTCTACACACACTTTTTACACCATGCAAAGCAAAAGTAGAGACCAGGACCAAAATGTGGCCCTTTTATTCCAGGTATATAGACATGTTTTATCACCTTTGCCTTATGAAAAAGTCTATGAAGCATCGGACGTTAGTGTGATGTCTTTTACGCAATTTGGTTGATTCAGACAAAAGCACCACTATGGGCTGAATTTGGCATCTTTGTTTGTTCTGTCTTATAGTCAACGCATCTGCAACTTTTCTTTCCCATAAGCAAGCCTTACATTTTTCATACATCTACATTCTTTCATATGTAGACTGTATTGTCCGCCTATTCTGGGCTTCTCGTCCTCCTCCGCCTCTTTCCCAGAAACTGAAGCTCTTTGTCTGAATGCAGTGCAGAGGACAAGCCCCAGCAGGTCCCTCACTCTCCAAATCAAATAGGAGGCCAAGGGCACCTCAGTAGGAGAAGCATTGTACCTCCTGGCAACTAAACAATGGTTTAAAGTAAGAAAAAGACAAGTTGCTTCATGAGAAATCAGGCAGAGGGCATGCAAAGGGATCTTGTGGCACCTCTGAGACTTTCTTTCTCATCCACACTATAGAATGAAAGCAGCATTCACAGGCTGGGGGCCTCTGGGAGCTGTAGTAGGTTGTTAGGAATTGTGGGAGTTGAAGTCCAAAACATCTGGAGGGCCCAAGTTTGCCCATGCCTGGTGTAGATGCAACCCTAGTCTCAAAGGTGCCACAAAAACCCCTTTTCACCTACCAGTATGCCAGACCTACATTTCCCAAATTCTAGTCTTCCAGGTTTTTTGGTCTTCAGCTTGCAAAATCCCAGATCTTTGGCCACGAGGCTCCTGGGAGTTGGTCCAAAACATCTGGAAGACCAGAATTGTGGAAACAGGGCTCTGGGTGCATCAATATTGTATAATGCAATTTCACATGACTTTAACTGCAATTGCCCGATGTTGTGGATCCATGGGAGTTGTAATTTAACAAGGCCTTGAATGTTCTCCTCCAAAGAGTGCTGGTGCCTCACCAAATGAAGAGTTCCAGTATTTCACATCATGCAGCCATAGTGGATGGAAATTGCTTCTCTTAAGTTGGCACACTGGTGGCTAGCCAAAATGTTAGCATATCTGGAGAGTATCTTTTATTATGATTGTAATTGGTTGTTTTATTATTATTATTATTATTATTATTATTATTATTATTATTATTATTATTATTTTGTGTCCTGAGCAAGTGGAGAAACTGCAAGTCGCTTCTGGTGTGAAAAAATTGGCTGTCTGCAAGGACATTGCCTGGATGTGTTATCATCCTGTGGGAGGCTTCTCTCATGTCCCCACATGAGAAGCTGGAGCTGACAGACAGGAGCTCACCCCACTCCTCGGATTCAAATCGCCGACCTACCAGCACAAGGGTTTAGCCCATTGCACCAACGGGGGCTCTGCCATGGTAGTTAAAAGGTGGGGTTCAAACTGCATTAATTGCACAACCTCTGCCCTTGAAATGCTTTTCTACAGCTCAAAGCACTGCCTCCTCCTCCTGAGCTTTGTCATTCCTGGCCTCAGACAAACAGCATCTCCCTCCTTCCATTTTCTTGGCATATGTTCCTGTATCTTTAGATATACTTACCTGGAAAGCAATGGAGATGGTGAGAGCCTCAGAGTCTTTCAGGATTTTATCTTGTTCTGTAGCACAAATCAATCCCAGCCGTTCACTTTCTCTTTTTTTGTCTGGGTGAACTGGTCATGAGGCCTGGGAAGAGCAACGCCCAGCTGCTCAGGAAACCGAAAGCGGGACTCATTTTCTCTCACTCACAGAGGCGTGACTTGGAATGACAGCTGTCCATGACTGTATGCCTTTTAGGTATAGAATTACGCCAGACACCATTGAGTGGGGGGAAATGTCAAGGACTCTTTAGCACACCCCTTGCTTTAATACCTATGTCTAAAATAGAATGAAATTCAGCTCAGCCCTTGTTAAAATATACTCTGCTCCTCAGTCATAACAGTTTAGAATTGCTGGGGGACAAACACTGTTTTGGCTTTACATGGTTTTCTCTCATCTTGAACTATTGGGGTGCAAACTTTTGAATTAAAGAGGAATCAGCTACACAAGTTTGATACAGATAAAACTATTTTAGATGATAGTGTAAGGGAGAGAAGCACTTGGTAAAATAGATTTTCCCCTGTGGGTTGCTATCAGTTTTCTGAGCTGTATGACCATGTTCCAGAAGCACTCTCTTCTGACATTTCACCCACATCTATGGCAGGCATCCTCAGAGGTTGTGAGGTCTGTTGGAAACCATGCAAGTAAGATTTATATACCTGTGGAATGTCCAGAAAAAAACCCTTTGTCTGTTGGAGACAAGTGGTAATGTTGTCAATGGCCACCTTGATTAGTATTGAATGCCCTTGCAGCTTCAAAGCCTGGCTGCTTCCTGCTTGGGGAATCCTTTGTTGGGATGTGTTTCTCCGATCCTGGACATTCCACAAATATATAAACTTCACTTGCCTAGTTTCCAACAGACCTCACAACCTCCGAGGATGCCTACCATAGATGTGGGTGAATTGTCAGGAGAGAATGCTTCTGGAACATGGTCATACAGCCCAGAAAACTCACAGCAACCCAGTGAGTGTGGCCATCATGAAAGCCTTTGACAACACAGATTGTTGGAAATACCTTTGTGATGCAGACACCATCTGGCTAAGCTTTAGCCTGCTGATTTCAAGGTGCAGTAAGACATATATGTGTGTGTGTGCGCGCGCGCGCGTTTGTATACACATATGTACACACACATATATATGCAATGCAAGTTGTGTGTACCAACCTGAAGTATAAATAATTCTGTTTGTCATCCTCTTAGAGGTTTAGGGTTACTAGGAAAATCGGAAGTAATGCAGACATCATAATAGGCAAACAAGCACTTACAACCCACAAAGTTTTAACCTTGTAAAATGAATGTATTCATGTAATGTATTGTTGAAGGCTTTCATGGCTGGAATCACTAGGTTCTTGTGGGTTTTCCGGGCTGTATGGCCATGTTTCACAAGCATTCTCTCCTGACGTTTCGCCTGCATCTATGGCAAGCATCCTCAGAGGTGAGGTCTGTTGGAAGTAGGAAAATGGGTTTATATATCTGTGGAATGGCTGGGGTGGGGCAAAGGGCTCTTCTCTGCTGGAGCTAGGTGTGAATGTTTCAGCTGACCACCTTCATTAGCATTTGAAGGTCTGGCTGATCCTGGGAAAATCCCCTGTTGAGAGGTGTCAAGATGTGCCTGGTTGTTTCCTCTCTGATGTTTTGCTGTTGAAATTTTAGAGTTTTTTTTAATACTGGTAGCCAGATTTTGTTCATTTTCATGGTTTCCTCCTTTCTGTTGAAATTGTCCACATGCTTGTGGATTTCAATGGCTTCTCTGTGTAGTCTGACATGGTGGTTGTGGTGTGGTCCAGCATTTCTGTGTTCTCAAATAATATGCTGTGTCCAGGTTGGTTCATCAGGTGCTCTGCTATGGCTGACTTCTCTGGTTGAAGTAGTCTGTAGTGCCTTTCATGTTCCTTGATTCGTGTTTGGGCGCTGCGTTTGGTGGTCCCTATGTAGACTTGTCCACAGCTGCATGGTATACGGTAGACTCCTGCAGAGGTGAGAGGATCCCTCTTGTCCTTTGCTGAACGTAGCATTTGTTGGATTTTCTTGGTGGGTTTGTAGATTGTTTGTATGTTGTGTTTCCTCATCAGCTCCCCTATGCGGTCAGTGGTTCCCTTGATGTATGGCAGGAACACTTTTCCTCTGGGTGGATCTTCATCTTTACTCTCGTGGCTTGTTCTTGGTCTTGCAGCTCTTCTGATGTTTGAGGTGGAGTATCCATTGGCCTGGAGAGCCCAGTTGAGGTGGTTCAGTTCATCTTGGAGGAGGTGGGGTTCGCAGATTCTTTTTGCACGGTCTGCCAAGGCTTTAATGGTGCTTCTTTTTTGACTTGGGTGATGGTTGGAGTTTGTATGTAGATATCTATCTGTGTGTGTGGGTTTTCTGTAAACGGTGTGACCCAATTGTTGATCTGGTTTACGGATGACTAGGACATCTAGAAAAGGCAGTCTTCCTTCATTTTCTTTTTCCATGGTGAACTGGATGTTTGGGTGGATGCTGTTAAGATGGTCCAGGAACCTGTTGAGTTCTTCTTCTCCATGGCTCCAAATGGTGAAGGTGTCATCCACATATCTGAACCATATCGTGGGCTTTTTGGTTGCTGTTTCCAGGGCTTGTTCTTCAAAGTGTTCCATGTAGAAGTTAGCTATGACCGGGCTGAGAGGGCTCCCCATAGCTACTCCATCTTTCTGTTCGTAGAATTCATTGTCCCACTGAAAGTAACTGGTGGTGAGGCAATGGTGAAACAGAGCCGTGATGTCTTCTGGGAACCTCTGGTTGATGAGTGCCATGGTGTCTGCTACCGGGACCATGGTAAATAGAGATACCACATCGAAGCTGATCAGTTTGTCGTTTAATGAATAGTTCCACCCCACTCAGACCCATCGTGAGTGCCATTGGATCCCCCACATACGACCTAGCAAAATTTCTTGCTGCACAGTTACAAAGCCATATTGGGCTCACTACACACTACATCAAGGACTCAGCCCACTTCATAGGAAAAAATCAGCAATCTCAAGCTAAATACAAACTTCCGGTTGGCGTTCATGGAGGCAGGACGCGGTTAGGTGAGCTCCCGCTTGCAGAACCGACTCGTAGTTATAGACCGTTGGGTAGAGCCTTCTGCTCCCCTCCCCCGGGAGATAGTCACCGGGGGGTACGCATGGGCCCTGCCGGCATCCGGGCGAAGCCAGGGGCGCGCGAGCGGTCTTACGAGAAGCAGGTTAAGTCTGCACATACTGCCTTCCGATGCCAGCAGACAATTCAACAATGTGAGTATACAAGGAAATAAAGAATAACAAGGGGAAATTTAGTTCCGAAGGAGAACGGAGAAGCACCCCTGCCTGAAAATCCCAACCAGAGACTTAGGAGGAGAATAAAGGACATAGAACAACAACACGCCCTCTGGAGAAGTGTCTCTTGGGACGGAATCAATAGCACCAGATATCGTAAAAAACTACCTTTTCTGAAGTCAAGAAGAACCATCTTTTTCTGAAGTCAAGGCCCCTCCTGGCCCTATTGGCCCCCCAGAATAGAGGCAGAAAGGCCGGCTTAAGAATGTCCAATCCAGCTCAAACAAGCTCAGCCAGGACATGACGGGAATCTAATTTTAATCTTTAAAATCTCCTGCAGTCAGCTAAGAAAACAACTGAACAACAACAACAAACTGGCATCCCAAGAAACAAAGCAACAAACTTACACGCAAGTATACTTGCCTTCATTTCTTCTCATTTTTCCCAGCTTTGCCTTCGCCCTCCCTCCCCCCGAAGCAAGGCTCCGACACTTACTCGGAACAACAACGACGGAGTAAACCACGGTGGGCAGCGGGACTCCTCGAAGGCAGGGGGCCCTTCCCACCAACACGAGAGGCCACTCACGAGGAGGAGGAGGCAGCCGCCGAGAGGGCGGGGTGGCGCGAGAGCGGAGAGGAAGTAACGCCCGGCGTGCTGGAGAAGGAGGGGACGTGGGAGGAAGTGAAGCCGGATGAGGCGGGCCTAGCCAAACCCAGCCTATTAGACAACACAGACAATATTGACACAAGCAAACTCCCCTCAACCCCCCCTCCCCCCCCCAGCGCAACTCTCAGAGCCTCCCGAACGGGCCCTACCCCCTTCACTGGAGGCGGAGGGAGTCTGAAGGAGGAACGGAGGCGAAGAAACGGAGACGCCGCGGGAGGTCCAAGTGAACCAAGCGGCGTACAGGCGTATCGGCATACTAACTCATGAACACTAGATACAGTAAGGACAATTTCTCTTATCTTTTTCAAATTGTTTCCATTTAGAAGTAAGGACAATTTTCGTCCAGTAGAGAACTCTACAGCGAAACGCTGAGAAGAGCAAGACCCCACTTCACAGAATTGATCTTCCAGCCCCGTGCTGTCCAACCCCCTCCTGCCAACCCTGACAAACCCCCTCCCCTTTCCCCTATCAACAAGGCTGGTAAGAGCAATGTAAAAGGACGCTTCCTAACACCAGGGGAGGTTGGCGGGCGTGGTCAGAGGGGCAGGGTTCTCTACCCCTATCTAGACAAGCGAAGCAAGGACAGAGGCGGGTCAGAAGGACAATTGTTAACCCCCTACCCTCGGACTTCCACCTTCAGGTGGAGGACAAACGATAAACCAAAGACAGCAGTTAAGAACATAAAATTTACTATTGGAGGGCAGGATGAACACCCCTAAAGCAAAGGCAGAAAAAGAGTTAAAGGACCCAAAAAACCCAGGAAGAAGAGGCTCTGCCCAAGAGGAAGTCAATATGAAAGACATCTGGAAAGAGCTACAGAAACTGACGGAAAAAATAACGGAAAATCAGGAAGAGAATAAGAAAGAGCTGAAGACCATAAGGGAAAGCCAGATTAAACAACAAGCCCAACTCGAACTAATAAGGAAAGAATTTAAAGAAGATATATGCTCCATGAAAAAGGAAATAATGAAGAATGCGTCAGACATAAACACCATCAAGTCAGAAGGGGGCAGGCTAGGAAAAGAACAAAGAAGGTTGCAACATGAACTGGAGGACCTATCAGCCAAAAACGACAGGACAACTAAGGAACTGGAACGTCTTCAATTAGAGGAGATGGAATATCTGTTAAGATTAAGAAATCTCCAGGAGGAAACTCAAGAGAACTTAAGATCTAAAATCATATATTTATTGGCAACCAATATTGGACTATCGGAGAGTACTCTAGAACAAGAGGTGGACCGCACATATAGAGTTCAATCGGCCTTCGCTAAAGAAAACAAAACGGCCAGAGACGTGATAGTCCGTTTCACGCGAAAACACGTCAGGGATGAGGTACTTCGACAATCCAACAAAAACCCTCTAATAAACGAGGGGAAGAAAATAATTGTATTGAAGGAAATCCCGAAACCAATACTGGACAGACGTAAAAAATACTTCTTCCTAACTCAAGAATTGAAGAAACATAGCATCAAGTTCAGATGGGACAAGACTGATGGGCTGATGATTACATTTAAAGACCAACGATATTGGATTAAAAATGAGGAGACGGCTAAGGATTTCCTATTAAAAATAAGAAGAGATGACGCAAAGAAACAGATAGAGATGTCGCCGACTAAAGGAAATGTAAGGAAGCGCCCCCGACCCGACACCCCGGCAAAAGAAGAAGACCAGCTCGACCAGGCCATGGCTCTGACTACGAACTCGGAAGACGACTTAACTGGAAAGGATACTACAGTGGACTTAAACAACCTTACTTATGATAGAACAACAAATTAATTTCCTCTCTTTAAATGTTAACGGCCTCAATTCTCCTTGTAAAAGGAAAAGACTTTTTCAGCACCTAAATAAAGAAAAATTTCAAATTATCGCATTGCAAGAGACTCATATTTGCCATAGGCATGTTGCGCACCTGTCCCAAAAGAAACTAGGCAGAGAATTCTACTCAGCCTGCGACTCCAAAAAAAAGGGGGTGGTAACTTATGTTAATGTGGATATACCCGCAGAGCTGATGTTTAAGGACCAGGATGGGAGAATCGTAGCAGTGAGAATAAAAATAGGAGGTGAAAACATTTTGGTTTGTAACATCTACGCCCCTAATGGGCCAAAGTTAAAATTCTTGAAAAACCTGAAAGAGCAGCTCTCCAAAACTGAATTCGATAGTCTAGTATTGCTAGGGGACTTTAACGGGATATTGAACAAAGACGTAGATAAAAGCCCAAATAATAAGAAAAACAGGTGCAAGGCCACCCTCCCTAAAAACTTCTTGTTATTTAAGGAAGAATTCGATCTTTATGATACATGGAGGCGTGGCCATCAGGACGAAAGGGACTATACGTTTTTCTCTGCCCGCCATAAATCATGGTCGAGGATAGACATGATCTGGGCATCAAATTCCATCCTCACTAAGATAGAAAATACACAAATCCGGGCGAGAGATATCTCTGATCACTGCGCCGTAACAATGGCCCTTCACAAGAAACGTGATTTCAGAAGATGGAGATTGAATGACAACCTGCTCAAATCAGAACTAGATATAAAGAAAAACAAAGAACATATCAAAGACTTCTTAAGGAGTAACGACACACCAGACGTCTCACCGCAAACTGTGTGGGACTCCCTCAAGGCGGTCATGAGGGGATATCTTATCCAACAGAGCGCAATTAAGAACAGAAAGAAAAATGCGGAGTTGAAAAATTTGGGAGAACAGATAAAAGAAAAAGAATTTGAATTAAAGGAAAACCCCGAAAAGCGAGGAATTGAGGACAAACTAAGATGGCTTAAAAGGAAAAAACATCATCTGGAGATCGAAGCCCTGGAAAAGAAGTATAAATATATAAAACAACAAGAATTCGAGCATGCCAACAAGCCAGGTAAGTGGATGGTCAGGAAGATAAGGAAAAAAAAAACAGGCGCAGCGAATAATAAGCATTAAGAAAGAGGATAGACTATTAACGAAGGATAAAGACATCATTGAAGACTTTCAGGCCTACTTCTCTTCTCTATATAATAAGGATGATACAAAAGAGACCGAAATCTCACAATACTTATCTAATCTCAAGCTAAAGAAAATCTCAGAAGATCAGAGAGAAGCTCTCAACAGAGAAATATCAGAAAAGGAAATTGCGGAGACGATTTCCAACCTGCCCGCAAACAAGGCCCCGGGCCCTGACGGCTTCTCCGCCTGTTTTTACAAAACATTAAAAGAGGAGCTGTTACCAACTCTGCATAAAATTATGAATTTAGCTCTTGTCACAGGCCAGATTCCAAACTCATGGAAGGAGGCAGAGATAGTACTCATCAAAAAAGGCAACTTGGATGGATCAGAAAAACAAAACTATAGACCGATCTCCTTATTAAACGTTGATTATAAAATCTTTGCCACTATCTTAGCGAAAAGAATAAAAAGGTTTCTATTAGGCTGGATTGGAGAAGAACAAGCGGGCTTTCTCCCAGGAAGAAGCACAAAAGATAACTTACGAGTCATCATTGATACCATCGAATATTATGATATTAACACTCAAAAAGAAATGGCCCTGCTATCCCTGGATGCCGAGAAAGCCTTCGACAATCTCAGTTGGAAATTTTTGAAACTTTTGCTAGAAGAAATAGATATCGGCTTCTCGTTTAAAAACGCAATCTTTTCCATCTACTCTGAACAATCGGCCAGATTGCTAATAAACTCCAATCTGTCAGGGAAAATTCAGATCTCGAAAGGAACAAGGCAGGGATGTCCTCTTTCTCCCCTGCTCTTCATCCTGGCCTTAGAAATCCTCTTAAAAACAGTCAAAGAGGACAAAACAATTAAAGGCATGAAGATCGCGTCTCATGAATACAAGACAAGAGCGTACGCAGACGACGTCATCTGCATTATTGAAGATCCGCTTAATAACATTCAGAGATGGACCTCCGTATTAGAAGAGTTTGGCAAGGTCTCAGGTTTCAGAATAAATAGAGGCAAGACGTACTTTCTAACAAAGAACATGGAGCCGGCCAAGCAGGCAGAGCTGAGAAGAACAACAGGACTGGAGACGAGTAAAAAAATAAAATATCTTGGGATCTGGATCACGGCCAGCAATGCCCACTTGTTCAAAAACAATTACGAACCTACCTGGAAGAGAGTTCAAAAAGATATAGCGCAGTGGAAGTTCCTGAAGCTCTCGCTGCTGGGGAAAATTGGACTAATTAAAATGACTATCTTACCAAGACTCCTCTATCTCTTCCATAACTTACCCATTATTAGAAACATCAAAGTCTTTGACAAATGGAACAAAGATTTAAGAAAATTTATTTGGGATGGGAAAAAACCCAGACTGAAACATCGGGTGATGGTGGACAGAAAGGATAGAGGGGGATTTGGCCTTCCTAGTCTAAAAACTTACTTCGAGGCCTGCGCCCTAATATGGGTAAAAGATTGGGCTTCCCTCAAAAATGAAAAAATGCTAACGTTAGAGGGGTTCAATCTCAGGGTGGGATGGCACGCGTACCTATGGTACGGCAGGTCAAAACTGGAGGGAAACTTCGACAATCATTTTGTAAGATCTAGTCTCCTCAAAGTCTGGAATAAGTACAGGAATTATTTCCATTCCAAAACTCCCCAGTGGTTGTCCCCAATCGAGGCGAAACAAAGACGCCTGCTAGGATGGCAGAGCTGGCCAACCTATAAGGACATTTTGGTTAAAGACAAAGAAACCAACAAATGGAGCATGAAACATCAGGAAGAATTAACTCAGGAATTTAAAAACCTGACATGGTTACAATACTTTCAGCTCCGAGAAACCTTCAAGCAAGACGAGAAGATCGGGTTCAAGGAAAAACCGACACCCTGGGATACAGTACTAAGTACAGAAAAGAAGCTCATCACCAAACTGTACAACCAACTTCTTACTTGGGAAACTGAAACAGAGGAAATTAAAAATTGCATGATTCAATGGGCCCAGAATGTAGGGCGGCCAATAAACCTACGAGAATGGCAACTATTGTGGAGAAAAAAGCTAAAATTCTCTTGTTCTATGGCATTAAAAGAGAATTGGTTAAAGACATTCCACAGATGGTACCTAACACCCTACAAACTCAGCCAAATGTATAAAAAGGTTAAGATCTCCTGCTGGAAATGTAAAGAACATCCAGGCACCTATTTTCATATGTGGTGGTCCTGCCCTGTTGTGAAGAAATACTGGCAAGGCGTGCAGGAAGAAGCCCAAAAAATTCTTAAGATCAGATTTCCAAGAAAGCCCGAGTACTTTTTACTAGGGCTAACGGACAAAGACTTCATGCTGGACGACAATGAAGACATCCTCTGGATGTATCTATCAACAGCAGCACGAATAGTACTGGCACGTCATTGGAAAGAAAACCAGATTCCCACGGTGGAAGAATGGCTAGTTAAAATCTCGGAACTAAGGGATATGGATAGGSTGACCTTCCTGCTGAAATCAAGCAATGGAAAGCCAATCAAACAGACGGACTGGGCAAACTTTGATGAATATGAAACAAAGAAATATGAATCGTAATGGGATATGAGCAAACTACAAGAGATACAGTTAATTAGTGTGTAAAATGAACTAGGTGCAAGCTAAGTCCGGAAGTAGACAGTATACCTCCGGTGAATTGCATGGAATTGCTCCGGACGGAAACTAAATGGAAGTCACCGCCCACTATCACTCCAAACAAGGAGGGAAAGTGGGCTCATATTATATGTGTTTGTGTGTGTTCGTTGTGTGTAATGCCCTTCCCCCCCCTCACCCTCTGTCCCCCTCTCCCACCCCCTTTTTCCTTTGAATGCGGATTTTATATTTATATATATCTGTCCAACKATGTGTCTATTTTCTATTGATGTTTCTATCTTTTTTAAAAAACTAATAAAGATTATTATTAAAAAAAAAAAAAGAGAACATGGCTCTATAGCCCGAAAAAACCCACAAGAACCTATTCATGTAATGTTTTCACGATGCAAGTAGACAAAACAAAAAGAACACAAAAACCACCTAGATGTCACTTTCAGGCACGTATGCACTGTAATTAAAACACACATTTTAAGACTCTCTGTGATGTGAGCTCAGTATATTCCCAGAAAAACACAACCTAACCACCAAAAAGGTTTTTTTTTTATCTTGCTGGCTTGCTATTGATTCAAAATGATAAAGGTTCAGTCTTGAAATACAATGTAGTCTCATTAGTGTGGATATGTAAAAAGCAGAAATATAAGAGCTAGTTCCTGAGGAGCAACAGATGAAAGGTTCTGCTTTGTTGATTTAAGGTTTAGATGAAAAATGCTCAGATATACCTTGTACCACGGAAGGTACTTTAACATCCCCTAAAGTATTTATTTATCGTATCAGGAGCGATACGATAAATAAATCGTATCAGGAGCTAACAAAAGAGTTGTATTGTATTTTTTTTAAAAAAAGTTTGAAAACTTAGCATTCTATTAAATGTCCTTTGACCAGTAGCTGGCCACTTGGGAGGACCTCTGGTGTTGCTATAAGAAGGTCCTTCAGCGACCAGAAGCAACTTGCAGCATCTCCTTAAGTGAAACAACTACAGACTTAAATGTCTGAAAAGAACAGCAAATGATGGTGGCTGAGCCATAGAAGATCTCTGAGGTGGGGTGATGGATGACCAAGCAGCAGCTTCTTCTCTATAATTACATCCCTTCCCTTTCTGCTCAGCTAGCAATTTTAAAACCTCAGTGCATGTGTAATGGTGCATAGTGCAATGGGGAGGTATTCATGTTAAGACCCCAAAGCCTCCAACTGTGAACAGACTTCTGCTCTTACTTCCCTGGTAGGATTCTGCATAAGAAGATGGAAGTTGTGTTGAAAGACACACACCATTCAGACAGACAGAATATATACCAAAGCTTCTATGTGGAACAATCTTATTCCTGTGATATTGTGATACAAAGAAAACCCTGACCCAAAACAGAGGGAGACCTTCTCTATTTTGCAATCTTTCCTAAAGGTAGAACAAGACAGTTGGAGGTCTCAAAGCCCTAAAGGTTCTAGTCCAGACTACCTGTCCGAGCGTATCTCCTGTTATGAACCATCTCGAAGTTTAAGATTTTCAGGAGAGGCCCTGCTCTCGATCCCACCATTATCGCAAATGCGGTTGGTGAGGACGAGAGACGGGGCCTTTTCGGCAGTGGCCCCCCAGTCTGTGGAACTCTCTCCCCAGGGACATCAGGTTGGCCACCTCCCTCCTGTCTTTTAGAAGAAGACTTGGCTTTGGGACCAGGCATTCGATTAGTGGACAGCGGCAATTGGAAAGAAGACTTGGATACTGCGACACTGAATTAACTCGACTTGGATTTGGTTTTAACTGGTCTGACTAATCTATTGTTTTAATGAATTGTTTTTAATGTTTTAATGTATTTGCTGACTATTTATCATACGATGCTTATGTGAGGCCGCCCTGAGTCCCCATTGGGGGGAAAAGGGTGGGGTAAAAGTGTATGAAATAAATAAATAAATAAAGTTGGAGAAGGCCTTGCCAAATCATAAAAATTTGAGGTGCTGAGCTGTTTTCCTAGTGGTTGTTGTTGTATGTGCCTTCAAATGATTGCTAATTTATGGCAACCCTAAGGAAATCCTATCACAGGGTTTTCTTGGCAGGATTTGCTCAGAAGAGATTTATCTTCGAAAGAGAGAGAGAGAGCCTTGCATAAAGTCACCCGGTGGGTTTCCATGGCTAATTAAGGATATGAACCTTGGCTTGCACAGTCATAGCCCAATACTAAAATCACTACATCATACTGGTATCAGATACTGTATGTCAGGCATGGGCAAACTTCGGCTCTCCAGGTGTTTTGGATTTCAATTCCTACAATTCCATTATGGAAGTTGAAGTCCAAAACACCTGGAGGGCTGAAGTTTGCCCATGCCTGCTGTATATTATGTGATATAATCTCTCACTATGTTAGATTGGTTACCAACCAAGTTCAGACTTCATTACATGTTAGCGAACAGCTGCTCAATTTTTATTTATGAAAGAAAGTATTGAATCTTCCATATTACAAAAGATATCTAATCTCATATGGATAAAGTAGTTTATAAATGTAGAAACTTTTGAGGGATATATCTCCCTCTTGTACATCAATTAGCAAAATGGTAAATTTCACTGACTTTAAAAGGATTCCTTCCGAATTAAATGAGGAAATGACTGCAGAGTTGTATTTTCCTAAAATGAAGGTATTACACATAAAATACATCACCCGTGCCCTTCTGTAATAAACAATAGAAGCAAGGTAAATATTTAAAGATGTCAAAGTACACAAGGTACAGCAATATTTTCGATATGTAATTTTTAATATCACATTCTTCAGATATCAGTGCTTTAATATTTTACATTATGCTGGGAAATCAATTTAATAAAATAGTAAAAAAGAGTATTGTTTCCACTGTGATAGAGTTTCTTGTAACTGATCTTTAGCCAATTTTATATTTTAAGCAATACGTTTAAGAATATTGTATTCAGTTAGTTTTAGAGTCAGCATTGTCCAAAAATTAATCAATCTAATCATTAATTGCATTCCATTTCTTGATCTTCAACTTCTGGCTCCAAAGGATAAGCTTCATCCAATGCAAGTTCTGAAACAGAGGGGATACATTTAATGAGTGCAAGAAATTTAGGGGGGGGAAGGGGGAAAGGTATTTGTTAAGTGTTATTTAAGTATAATTCAGGGATGGGCATACTTCGGCACTCCAGGTGTTTTGGACTTCAACTTCCACAGTTGTGGGAGCTGAAGTCCAAAACACCTGGAGGGCCAAAGTTTGCTTATACCTGATATAGATTATCCAAAGCAAGGATGCGCAAACTGCGACACCTCCAGATATTCTTGGACTACAACTTTCAACATTTATTTTCCTTATTTATATCCTGCCTTTCTCTATCCCGAGGGAGACTCAAGGCCGCTTCTCGGCCTTTTGGCTAAGATCAAGTGTAGTACAATCGCACCTCCATGGTTCCTTAAAACATTCCACATCAGTTTACACACAAGGTAAACATTAAAACATAATAAGCATAATAAAAATACATTTCAATGAATCACATCATGCAAAGTTATAGTCTAAAGGCCAATCCAAAATCAAATTGCACATATTCCATACTAACATTCCTGCACTGCTCTATTTTCAAAGGCCTGCTACCAGAGCCAGGATTTGAATCTGTTTGTAAACACTAAGAGGGAGGGGACTGTCCAAATATCGCTAGGGAGGGAGTTCCACAACTGAGGGGCCACCACTAAGAAGGCCCCGTCTCTCGTCCCCACTAACCGTGCTTGCAAAGAAGGTGGGACCGAGAGCAGGGCCTCCCCAGACTATCTTAATCTCTGTGGTGGTTCATACGGGGCAATACGTTCAGTCAGGTAGGCTAGGCCAGAACCGTTTAGGGCTTTATAGCCTAAAGCCAGCACTTTGAATTGTGCTCGGTAGCAGATTGGCAACCAGTGGAGCTGGGATGGTATGCTCCCTGTATGTCGCTCTGGTGAGTAGCCTGGCTGCCACCCATTGGACCAATAGTAGCTTACGAGCAGTCTTCAAAGGCAACCCCATGTAGAGTGTGTTGCAGTAATCTATACAGGATGTAACCAGAGCGTGGACCACTGTGGCCAAGTCAGACTTCCCAAGATATGGGTGCAGCTGGCGCACAAGTTTTAATTGTGCAAAAACTCCCCTGGCCACTGCTGACCTGGGGTTCCAGGCTCAGCGATGAGTCCAGGATCACTCTCAAACTGCGAACCTGTGTCTTCAGGGGGAGTGTAACCCCATCCAGCACAGGCTGTATCCCTATACTGGCTATGCCTCAATGTTGGCTATGCTGTAGGGCTACAGAATTCCCACCCATTTCTGGAAAACCTATTCATCTATGAAGGCCAATGACTGGTGATTGGTGACTAAATGGATCTTATCAAGTGTCAGCTTTATTTAACGTGTTTACTTACAAATTGCAGCACTGGAAACATTTAAATTCAATGGATAATACTGAAGTGAGAAAAATCTAAAGTATTTTCATCAAGAATACACCTATGGCTACCGGTCTGAAGCGGAACTGACAGAACTGATTAAAAGATCTGCAGCTAAAAAACAGAGTGCATGTTTTGTGTAGAAAACCTAAGTGCAACAGACTTATTTATATCCTTCACATTCTGTCTTTCTGTTATTACAGAAATGGTAAATAAAAGCACAATATACTTTGTAGTTCTAATATACAGTAGTAGTACTGCATTAAAATACATCAATAAGGCTTAAATCCAGAATTAATTAAATAATTAATTAATAAATAACTTTATTTATATTCCTCCCTATCTCTCTGAGGGGACTCTAATTAGTTCTATTTAAAGTAGATCCAGATAAATTAATGAGATTTGTTGGCTATTGTTAATAGGTCCTGTTGACTTCCATGGCATCTTCAAACTGTGGCTCCCCAGCTGTTTGGGTCTCCAATTCCCAGAGTCCCTGACTACTTAACAAGCTGGCTAGGACTTTTGGGGGTTGGAGGCTGAAAAAGCTGGAAGGCTGCCTGGTCTATATTCTAGATGGATTTAGCTCAAAGATTCCCAGTTTTCAGTACGGGAGGCAAATCTCTTTTGAAGAAATGAAGTAGCCTGATAGCAATCTGCACACTAAACAAATGTCACTGAAAAGACCGAATAAGATAAAGCAGGATCCAGGCTCCAAGTCTATACAGACCTACATAGCATCAATTCCCATTTTGTTCAGTACTTGGCTGCACTTCTGAATAAACATGCACAGGGCCTGGGCATTTTAATATTCACTAAATTGCAATTTTCATGCAAACAACTTCACCTTCACAGACTTTCAGCTTTCCAGCTTTTCGGAGGATTGCTCTGACACCAGGCATGACATGGTCGAACTGATGGAGCACTTCCAGGCAATGTTCATGGAAGAGTTTATCCTTTTGAGACAGGCTGTGCAAGAGCAAAACAGTGTCCCGTAAAAACTGAATCACTTGCTTTCCACGCACATCAAACAAGTTTCCTTCCACTTTTCCGACTGTCAGCCATTGCCTATGTAACATTACAATTAGAGCCTTCACTACCTGCAGGAGAAAACACAATATAGTTCTCAAACACATTTTGCAGGAGACATGGCTTACAAACTTGGATTACTGTGGTTTAGTAAGTCGCAGTACTGCAACAAAACAAAAGCCTTTAATCAGAAATAGGATTATTAAAAGGGTATGTAGAATAGAATCATAGAATTGGAAAAGAGCACAAGGCACATCCAGCCCAACCCTATTCTGCCATGCAGGAATATACAATCAAAACACTCCTGACAGATGCTTTAAAATCCTCCAGAGAAGGATACTCCACCAGCCTCCAAGGCAGGATATTCTACTGATGAACAGTGCTGACTATCTGGGAGTTTTTCTTAATGATTATGTGAAAGCACTTTTCCTTTTGTCTTTTCCATAGAATAAGAATGATTTTGATAGCAAGATGACAAAAATAATGCAACTAGACTGGGTTAATTTGCAGATTTTTAAAGGACAATTTCCTAGGCATAATTAGAAT